GGTTTTGCTAAAGACTGCATTCTACTCTGCATGGACTTTCTGGCTTCAGACTGCAACGCGTGCGAAGCTGTTAGGAAGATGCTGAACATAATGTGACCCGTCCAGACCTCCTGTTTTTACCATTGGTCATCAGATCCTGCCCAGAGGGAGATTTTCCCATTTAATATCCATTTATCAAATCTTAAATGTAAAATACTATCTGCACCACTCAGGATTTATTTAAACAAAGCTGATGTTTATTTAGGAATTTTGATGAAGATTATTTTAGTGCAAAAAAGGAAAATTTTCATATTATTGATGAATTCATTCAACCAACGACTGACAACTATCGAGAGCAGTGATTAAATGTGCCCTCATGCCAACCTTTGTGCTGTGCACGGTCTTGCCTTCCAGGGGCTCACAACCAGGCCTGGGGGATACTGGTAACAATGGTTACTTGAAATTGTAAGTGCTATTTTTAAGCATGAAAATAATGGGAGCCCAGAGAAGAAAACAAATAATTCTGTGCAGGGTGGTTGCGGGTTAAGAAGGATGTCATGAAGCAGTGGGATCTCAGTTGGATTCTTGGAAGTTAAGGAGTGTTCTTGGTAGATACGGATCAGAGGGTCTGAAGGTAGAGAGATCATCAGCAAAGCATGACCTGAAGGGCAGGGCAGTGGGGCAAGCCACAGTGTGGTGAGAGTATGTTCTGTGTGAATATTGGGTGCAGGGTGGGTAGTGATGGTAAGAAAAGCAAAAACTCATTTTAAGTTCTGTTAAAGCTGATGGAGAAAGATAATAAAAGGAGGTTATCTTGTTGAGAGAGACTCCACTCTCACCTGCACAGATTTAATTCTATCCCTTTTCAGGACTTGAAATTTCTCTTTCTTTCTACATGAGCGTAAAATAATGGTAAAATTGCACTCATTATTGAATTCTGGCTTACCTGGAGCCTTCTTTGTGAAAGCATCCCTGAAAACAACAGGCAGAACTAGTTGCTCCCTCTCATGAGCTCCAAAAGTCTTTATTGATATTCTCACTTACCACCCTGAGTTACAGTGAACTGTTTACTCTCTTCTTCCCTTCAAAATGAACAGTTTAAGGCTGAGTAAAGCCTTATTTGAATCCCTAGCACAGTCCACAGCATATCACATCTATCGAAAAATACGTGGGATAAATTAATGTGAGACAGACTAGCTAGGTTGTGGTGAGAGTGATTGTGGAGATATCCTGGGTTCTTACAATGAGGATGGGAGAAGGGACATAAAGGTGTTTGGAGCTAAGTTTTGAGGGACAGTTAGGTACCAGGGACAAGAATTACAACTGGGACTAAAGCATAGACCAAAAGGTAGGGCGTGGTGAGAGATGAGGCTGGAGGAGGGAGTGGTCTCAAATTAAGGGTAGTCCTATATGCCAAACTAGAGGCTGTGGGGAATCCTGCAAGAGTTTTATGCAGGGAGGAGTAAAGATCAGATTTGGGTTTTAGAAAGAGCACTAGCATGAATAATCACAATAGTAATAATAACAACCAGACTTAATTTATTAAATACTATGTCTCACACACAGTGCCAAGGGTTTTATTTTATTTTATTTTATTTTTAAAGAGGCATGTATTTTATTAATTAATTTATTTGTTTGTTTGTTTGTTTGTTTATACATGCACTGGGTATAGTCAGAAGCTTGGGAGGGTGAGAGCCAGAGCCAGAGCAGGGAGCAGAGCAGGCAGAAGGACCGAAGTACACTGCTGAGGGGAGCAGCGGGCGGCAGGAGAGGTCTGCACGCCATGTGGGACCCTCCTCCGGTGGCCGGGGAGCAGCTGGGGATCGAACCGGCGCTGCAGAGGCTGCGGGCAGCTTCGCAACCCAGCGCTCAACTGCTGCGCCACCGGAGAGGCCCAGTGCCAAGGGTTTTATAAGGATTTGGACCTTGGCAATTTTCTTTCAGAACATATATTACTAACCATCAGGCTAAGGTGCTTGGACTGGAGGGCCAGTGATATTAGGAGACTGTTGAGGGAATCTGAATGAAAAATAAAGTACCAAGTCTATGGCATTAGGTAGTGAGGGTTAAGAAGTAAAATGGGGAGAGTATCCTCAGAATTTGGAGACCAGCTGGGTATAGGAAATGAAGGAGTAGAAGTGGAGATGTCTTCTGAATTTCTGATTTGAGTGCCAGTGGGGATGGCGGTGTCATTCACTGAGATATAAGAAATGCAGGGTATCATTATGATAAATAAAGGCAATGAATTCTTTCATTTCTTCTTTTTCGCTGTCCCTGTACAGCTTCTAAAGAGAAAGTCATGAGCTCTCAGAAAGACCATGATGGTTCCTGTAAATTGCTCTATTTAAACTACATATGAGCAACAAGATGCAGAGTTCATTAAGGAATACAATTTTCCATTTGGTGATAGTACCAATATTAGAATAGATGGAATTTGATGAAATAATAAACGTATCTTATGAATACCAAAGGTAGGCTTTTCAATTATTTTCTCTATCTAAAAAATAGACTATTTTCAATTTCTCATATGGGGGTTATTAAGTTCATTACCAGTGGGGTTATTTTTGTCTGTATACTCTTAGAGTGAAGTAGTTGTCATGCATGAGACTTCAGTCCCTGCCAGAACAGGACAGTGATGAGAACATGGTATCCAGGGCAACCAAGAGTTCAGTCTTTTCAGTCCATAAATAATCATTCCTCAGCTTGCCCTTTGTAATGTTGGTCTCCCAGCTACTTCATGACAGGAGGCCACTGTTTCTTTCTTACTTGTAGTTTAAATGACTGCTGAGGAATATTTTATAAGGTAGGCAATATTTCAATTCCCCTGCAAATCGCACTGACAATAATCTGCAACTTACCCTTATGTTTTTAGATCTGGTTATAAAGATATTCTGAAAAAACAGCACAAAGGGGTATTTATGTTGGGAGGGTAATGCACGAAGGCTGTTTGAGGCCTAGCAAGGTTATGCATGCCTAAGTGTTCATTTTAATGAAAGCATAATGAAGGCAAGAGAAACCTGGGGGACGGAGGGGGAGATTGAGGTGGGTGGGTCTCACTCTGATGAAAAATTGACATAATTCTTGCCTCCTCTGCCCAGCTCCTTAGAGTCAGTTTGAATTCCTCCTTCATGAAGACATATGAGTTCTCTCCAGAGCAGAAACTTCACCCTCCACTGGCTATCAGTAGCACTCATTTAACATTAAGTCACATCTCAGGAAGTCACCATATTATGGTGGTTAGGAGTTCACACTTCAGAATCTAACCAAGCTAAATCTGAATGACTTTACTCAAGGGTCTCAATTTTCTCTTCTGGAAACAGGAACTCAGCAGTGTTTACCATATGTGCAGTAAGGATATATTAGACAACACATGTAAGGCTTAGTGCCAGGGCTCTGAGATTGCCAAGGCCCACATAGACTTTGGAGACCTGGAAATCAATTGGCTTTAAAATACTAAGAGTACATTTTTCAAAATTAATAAATATTTAATAAAACACTTAAAATGTTCACTGTCAACTACACTTGAACTCAACCTTTATATAGTTATGTATAAATATGAAACCAAGGAATGTGGCCTTAGAAGTAAATGTTCTAAGGGCTTATGGAGATCTAAAATATCTCTAGGAGCTTAAAGAGATGGTAGCTCTACTCTAATTACCATAATTATAACAATGACCAAGACATGTCTTGGGCTATATAGAAGTGTTCTGTTGAAGTTTCTCCTTAGTCTTTCTAACTAATCATAAGATCCTTGACGATGGAAGTTTGGAGGAAGTACTGAGTCAGATATACTGAACTTTGCTCTGGGCTCTACCACTGAGCCAATGGGGAAGCCTGGACACACAGGTTTCATTTCTTTTTTTTTTTTTAAAGATTTATTTATTTATTTATACAAGCACTGGGTACAGTCAGAAGCACGGGAGGGTGAGAGAATTCACCAGAGCCAGAGCGAGGAACAGAACAGGCAGACTTGATGAAATACACTGCTGAGGGGAGCAGCGGGCGGCAGGAGAGATCTGCGTGCCATGTGGGACCCTCGCCCAGTGGCCAGGGATTGAAGTGGCGCTGCAGAGGCTGTGGGCAGCTTCGCAACCCAGCGCTCAACTGCTGCGCCACCGGGGAGGCCCAAGGCTTCATTTCTTCACCCAAAAAAACAGGAAGACTGTAACCTGTGCCAGCTCCCCAGACAGTTCATAGTGAGGCCATATTTAAAATATGAAATTCCTATTTCAAAATATGAAAAGCCATATTTAAAGTGCTTTAACTGGGTCTCCCTGGTGGCACAGCGGGTTGAGCGCAGCACTGTGAAGCTGTCTGCAGCCTCCATGGCGCTGGCTTGATTCCTGGCCGGCCAGGGAGATTCCCACATGTTGCAGCAGACCTCTCCTGTCTCTCCTGCTGCTCCCCTCAGCAGTGTATTTTGGTCCTTCTGCCTGTTCTGCTCCCTGCTCTGTCTCTGGTGGATTCTCTCACCCTCCTGCCTCTGGCCTGTACCCCAGTGCTTGTATAAATAAATAAATCTTTAAAAAAAAATAAAGTGCTTTAACTGTATAGACAAATGGGGAAATATAAGCCACTGAAATACCTACAGTGCTCCTCATGGCCCTTAGACACAGTCAGTGAACATCTGGTGACGTCTACAGAAGGTTCTGTTCTACCCTCATATCTGAACAATACTTACTATATCGATAGTTTTTTCCTTGCTGATCATTCATGTACCAAATATTTATTTATAAATACCGAGTCCCTTCTACATGCTAGGGCTTGTGCTAGAAGCTGGGGATCCAATGGGATACCGAGTCTGCAGTAAAATTATTGTTTTTTCTTTATATATCATCAGAGAGTTAACACACATTACCTGAAAGTAAGAGACTCAAAGAAAAGACAATGCCTCCAGTCCTAAAACATTATATAGAATGGGCTCTCAATATTTCTGATAGGGAACATTCTCCTTTGGGCCCTAGTTTTCCTAGGCAATTCTGGGCTTTGTTAGAAAGAACCTCTCGAAGCCTGGTACTCACAGGTGGCAGGCAGGAGTTCCAGGTGGTTGTGTCATCGCTGCTGGTGCTTATGCTGACATTACAGTTGTCAACCTGGGATGCACTTAGGCCATGGGAAGCCCCAGTGTCCTCCAGCTCTTCATTCTGTTGCCGCCGTAAGCTCGCCAGCATTTGTAACTCAGATTCACTCATCTGGCTGGTCTGATAGTTTCTCCAGTCATATTCCTGACCAAGAGAGAAGAAAGTGACAGAATAAAGAGTCATTTGGCCTTTCCTAATTTTATGGTCTACTGACAAATGGCATTTGTCAGTCTTAACCTCTTCAATGGCTTCTCACTCACAGAGGTTAAAGTCTTTAAAGTACCTTTATAAGATGCTTACCCTACCTACCTCACCTGGTGTTTCTGTTCCTAACACCTTAGTCATAATACTATCTTTTAAGGTCTTCCAAAGCATCAAACTTGTGTGTACCTTAGGGTCAGTGTACAAGCTGGCCCCATGTCCCAGGAACTGGCTAACTCCTTAGACATCCTTCAGGTACCAAATTATGTGTCCTTTCCTCAGGGAAGTCTTTTCTGGCAACCACAAGCTTAGTCACCTTCTGCATTATGTGCTCACACAGATTCTTAAGTGTTCAGTTTTGTCATAACTGAAGTTACAGAATTGTCTTTAGAGTTCACAGGTAGGTTATGAGTCCTACAAAGTCAAGCACCATTACTATCTTATTCTATTTCCCATAGTTGGTATCTGAAGATTGACTTGATAAAAATTCAAAGCCATTATTTTTAAAAAAGAAAAATTGCTCCCCATTAAAAATGCAGTTTACCAAGGAACTGATGAATTACATCACTGTGAATGTTATGACCAAATACTTTCAGCTTAGAGTAAGACTGAAAATGACCAATGCTATTAAAAACCATCCAATAAAAGAAAGATAAGATTGGAACATGAAGGTCTGAAAGCCAGAAAGACCTTGCAGCTAAAATAAACACATTGATATGGACTTCATTATGTATGTGACCTGTTGGGCATGTGGATTACTACAACAAATTTTTAGCGGTTAATACAAATATTCTTTTCAAAATAAAATAAAATAAAAATATTCTTTTCAGTAGAGGGTGAAATTGGCATATGGAGTTTTCAAACCTTTCCTTTCTCTTTGGTTTAAACCAAATTTGAAAGAAAATGTTCATTTCAACATTGCTAAAATGTTAGTATCACTTATGAGCCATGTGATTCACACCCAGAACTGGCTTATAACTTAAAAACAATCTTGAATTTTTCTTGTATATCTGGAAACACTGGTTATGTTCAAAAAAGGTTTTTCCATGACACATTACATTTTTTTAAATATTCGATCCTTTACATTTACTTCCTTAGAGAACACTTTGAGACAGCTATTGCCTTCTCTTGTTTCTTTTCTGCCTTATAGGGACATAAAAAATTAAGAAAATACAATTATGAAGTTAATTCTTGGCATTCCTATGACATTGAAAGCTTTTTAATAAAGCATTAGTAGTATCATAATTTGGAGAATGTAAAAACTTGTCATCTGAAAATATGATGTAGAGAATTCTGAAAAGTTGTGAGAGGGAACTCACTTAGATTCTTACTTTTCATAGTTCCGACAACTTGCCACCTTGAGAAGCCATGCAGTTGTTCTTCCACCCCCATCCTAGCCCCCCTCCTGAAATACATTTATTTTTATTTATCAGGTCATATCTGAAAGTACTGTAAAGTTATTACAGCAAGAGTTCATATAAAAAGCAAGTTCTTCAATTTTTACAAAATGTTTTTTCCTGAAATGTCCCACTAGAGATTGCATGGATAGAATGACAAGTAACAAACACACAAAGGAAATGAGTAGAAAGTCATTGAGGCCAACTAGATCAAAATAATCTTCCCCAAAGACACACTACAACATGGATGAACCTTGAAAACACTGTGTTAACTGAAATAAACTAGAGACATAAGGTCATAGATTATATGACTTCATTAGTATGGAATACTCAGAATAGACAACTACAGAGACAGAAAGTAAGTTAGTGGTTACCAGGGGTTTGGGTGGAGAAGGAATGGAGAATGACTCTAATGGATATGGGGTTTCTTTTTGGAGTGGCACAAATGTTTTGAAGTTAGGTAGTGGTGATGATCACAGTATCTTAAGTAAACAAACCAACAAACCCTCCTGAATTTGAAAATGAAACCAACAGCCAAACTTTAGACTCAACAATGAACAGTGACAGGATGTCTTTCACTTTGGCTTTTCTGTCAAAAATGGAACTAGATGTTCTAATGTGTCACATAATAGGTGTGTCGTTTGGCTTCTCATTGCCAATGCGATGATTTTTCATTGAAAAAGGTAATTTATTTTCATTTTCACAATTTTTCTTAAGGAGAAAGCTTTATTATGTATGGAGTATAACTGATTCATCCATTCAATTTATTTTATTTTATTTTATTTTAAGATTTATTTATTTATTTATACAAGCACTGGGTACAGTCAGAAGCTTGGGAGGGTGAGAGAGTTCACCAGAGCCAGAGCAGGGAGCAGAACAGGCAGACTGATGAAATACACTGCGAGGGAAGCAGCGGGCAGGAGAGGTCTGTCATGCCATGTGGGACCCTCAATGGTGGCCAGGGATCAAACTGGCGCTGCAGAGGCTATGGGCAGCTTCGCAGCCCAGAGCTCAACTGCTGCGCCACCAGGGGAGGCCCCATTCAATTTATTTATTTAATCCACAAGCCTGTGCTATGCCTGTGGAGCAATTCTAGGTGCTGGGACAGAAAACCATGAGAGAGTAAGGCAGCAGTTGAGTCAGACAAATCTTAGTGTGGGTCCTAGCTCCAGCATTTACCAGGAGCATGTGAGTGGGGAAATCACCTAACTTATCTGGGCTTCAGCTTCTTCATCTGTAAAATGGAACCAAAGTGTTTATCTCATCAGATTTCCCATGGAAAAAATGAAATGGTATTTTTCAAACACTGAGCATATTACTGACAAAGAGCTAGGTAAAGGTGCTCTAAATTTTTCGTTTGCATCTTTGATAAAATGTTTGAATATGTATCTTTCAGTATGTTTATTTATAAACTTAACATAAGTACAATTATATTAAAATAGTATTTATGTATGCAAAATTATACACAAAAAAAAGAATTCAAATAATTGAATAACCAAATAAATGGAGATAGCTTAAAATTTTTCAGCCTGAAGTTCCATGAATTTTCTTTGGCACACACCTTCTGGTGTGAGTACATTTCTCTAAAAGACCACTGAGTTGGCAATCAACACATGTGCTTCCTGTTAATATTGTTCTTCCTTCTTCTGTGTCCCCCTCCTTCCATCTTTCATCCATTCTATACTATTCTAGGAGCTGGGCATATAAAGAAATTAAGGTAACCTCTGTCTTCATGGAGCTCACAGTCTAGAAAGAGACATAATAGGTCTTATAGAAGAGAACACTACAATGTGTCACGGTCAATACTACAATGGAAATTTGCTTGAGGAATACAGCACAGAAGTGTCCAGCTGTGCAGCAGAATTAGAGAAAGCTTCACAGAAGTCTAAAGTGGCATTTGATAATAATTAAACTTATTGACAAGTGTAATGAGTGGCCTTCAGAGGTAGTGAAAGTTCTCTACCATTAGCAGTATTGAAATACAGGCTGAAGAAATAATACCTGACTAGAATATTGCAGCAATCTGCAGTGATTCATTCACTTATTCCATAGATACTTACTGAGACCCTATTATGTGCCAGGGACTCCTGGTGCTATGCTTACTTAGAACTGCATATTTCCATGATTTTATTTCATACAACAGTAAAATGTATACTGACAACACTCTGGAAGGGGGCAACCAAAAATGAGCAGAGAGAAAGAAGCAACTTTCTCCAGGGTCATGAATAGAACAACTGGTGGTGGAGACAGGTCTCTTGATACATTATTGATTTTCATTCTCTTAAACCATTTCAAAATCACCAGAAAGGCTGAATCATTTATTAATGTTTTTTTTAAAGGTTTGCAATAAAGTCTTCACATTAAAGTGGACTCCAACACAAGATGTCATCTAACTAAATTATGCAACTGCTGAGAGGCAAAGTGCTTTATGTAATTCCACCTCTGAAAGACTCAAAATATTATGTATAATCCAATTTCTTCATCTCAAAATATCCTTGTAGGAAAGAAGGGAGAGATTATCAGATTTGTTTTAAGAATGAAGTAATGGGCTCAAGGCTATGCAATTCAGCTGCGATCAGATTTCCACATAAGTTCTCTGCTCTTGAAGCCATTCAAGCTGTTCATCTTCCTTGATCTTTCCCCGGACATTATTGGGAGCCAAAGACAGTGAAGTCCAAAACAAGTAAAATGTGCCCTGGCTTTCACAGGCCTTACAATTTCTAGCAGGGCAATTAAGAATTACAAGAAAATGAATATAAAATAAGGTAGCATGTATTGAGTTTTGGTATCAATAGTCATATAGGGCCCTGATAATGATGAAAAGTTGCTAACACCAGAAAAATTATAAAACACAACAAACAAAAATAATTTTTCAACTTGATATTCTTTGTCCAATCTCTCTTCTCAAGATTTTAAGACAGAATAGCTTAATGGTTAAATATCTTCCTATAGAAATTTGTGAGCCTCAGTTAGATCAGTTCTACTGAACTATGGGTAACATAGTGTAAATTTACGGTGGTGGTGTGGGGCAAAATTAAGACCCAGTCAAGGAATAAGATCAGATCAAGAGCCTTATTCTATTCTAGTCTCTACAGATGAGAAGGTAAGAGAATTGGGAGCTATTTGGGTCATTATTCTCATCCTGGAGCCTACAAAACCTCTGAGACTCTTTCTGAATCAGTTTTGCATTGCAATTGCCTGACACCCATGGCACAGAGGACATCCTATTGTAAATACTTTAAATGAGAATCTACCAAACAATCCTTGACACAAAGAATGTACCAAGATACAAAAAAGAGTTAATACAAAGGGGATTGTGTCTGTTAGGATATAATATAAAAAAGCAATGGGAGAAAAGGGAGATATACCAAATAGTTTGGAATTTCAGAAAAGAGAGGATTAGTCAAGGTTCTTACAGGATTAGTCAAGGTTTTATGGAGGACATGATCTCGAAGCTGGACCTTGAAGAGTAAGAAAGGTGTAACAGCAGCATCTTTAAAACATCAGTCAGGAAAACATGGGGCGAGTTAAAACAGAACTTAAACA